GTCAATGTAATTTAATAAGGCAATGCAGAGTTGGACAGTACCAAAGTCATTCGAGGAATGAGCACCATATCGCCAACATGTTGTTGAGAAACTCGGTGAAATCTATCTATGTGTTGACATCTGATAATAACTCCTCCTTGTACATACCATCGGAGCTGAAATAAATCTTTTTCTCTCTCCAGTTATGATCGACAAAAAATGACCATTCAAAAAACCGACATTTTCTTTAGTCGGTGCAAGAATTGCCCTGCCCTCGAAATACTCAGGAGCGAACAGGTTGCTCATAAGATCGGGATAAACAAACTCGATAAGATCCAAAACGGGATCTGCATATCATGAATCAGCATATCATCGGGAATTTCAATTGTAGCATCACCATCATTGACCTCGCCAGCATCGCCGTTGCTATCCACTCCGCAAATTCTCTTATTTCATCTGCATTGGCGGAAGAGGAGGAAGGCTGAAGTCTCGTGTTCTTGTTCAACTTCATAACCTTACATTGTCTCCACAACGGTGTTGAATTGATTGTACCGTGAATATTGTCTTGTCTCGATGCTTTCAACACAACTGGCAGAATTTGCCGAAAGTCCTCTTTAAGAACTACAACCTTGCCTCATAATGGGATCTCTTAATCAAGTACCGATTTCATTGTCTTGTCAAGTGCTTCGAAACAGTACATGTGTTTTATCGGTGCCTCCTCCCATATGATTAGCTTTGCTTTAGACAACCTGTGGACTTTGTTGTTTGATGCTTCATGTGGAGCTCTCATCTACAATTATTGGCAGTCCAAACTCGAATGCGCAGTTCTGCCACCGGCAAATAGAAGCAAGCAATGCCACTGGGATGTACGGGGATATTCATCATGAGAGCAATTTTTTTATTAGAAAGAATGTCTCGAAATAGTATGAACAAAAGTTAATATACAGTACAAATTAAAGAAATAGAAAAGTATACAAAAATTGATCATGTTTGGTTTTAATAATTAAGTAAGACAAAATAAGTGAAAGAAATATATCAACAAATGGGATTTCGTATAACAAAAGGCGAGTATACATCCTTGGTCCCAACATACACAAATTAATTATTAAAATTTCAATACAGTGCAAATCAACCTACTAATACAGAATAATCAAGCATATAAGAAATAAAAATAAACATTGTTATTTAATCTGATATTTCTATAATCACCTTCATATTCACTGAAAAACTTTCTGCTAGACAACATTGCTAGTAAAATTAATCATTTGATTCCAACTTGATGAATATTTTTATGACACCTCTGTTCTTAACTCTCGATATTGTGACAGATAATTGTCAATGTCACCTGTAATACTTACATTTATCCTATTATTATTGCTATTGCGATTGTTGCTGTTGTTGTTGTTGCTATTGCATTTGTTGTTGTTAATGATGTTGTCGTTGTTGGTGTTATTATAGTGTTGCTTTCGCTATTGCTAATTCTAATGCAAACGCTACAGCTAATATGCTAATGCTAATGCAAATCCTTATGCTAATGCTAATGCTAATACTAATATTAATATTAATGCTAATACTAACTCTAATAGCAATACTGTTATTCATATTAATATTAATTAATACTAATACTAATGCTAATACCACTACTAATACTAATATTAATACTAATACTAAAGAAATCCCCATCCCCGCCCCCGCCATAGAAATCCCCATCCCCGTCAAAATCACCGAAGTTTATAAAAATAATCCCCATACCCGCCCCCATAAAACCCCCACAGGTACCAGGGCGGGTAAAAATCCCCCATTTTTTTCTTAATAACTAAATATGCAATCTACTTACAATTTAAAGGCTTATTTCAACAAACAAACTTATACTTAATTATATTACTTATATTTAATTATAT